ATTGTACATCTAATGCCCATATTGGCCATGCCCATGCAGAAGTGAACCACTCAAAAGTGCAGCAATGAAAATGGTTTATTTTCCAGAATTTTTTTTATAAAAATTATACATTTTCAGCTAACAAAAGCTGAGAACACTTTCATAAGAACTGAGAAATAACAAAAATAAAGCAATTTGCCAGAGGCATAACACTATGGTGTGTACAGGAGAATGCCTTTCAAAGATTATAAAATGTCTGAGAGCAATGCTCTTCAAATGTTGTGAACATTGGAGTGTTGGGTGGCAGTTGTATCCCAGCATGGCCCAGGGACCTCAGAATATTGAGGCAAAAGGTGCACATAGAGCACTGTCATTTTCTGGAGGTTTGCTTGGGGTATATTGACTTTGTATTGGTGGCCCTAAAGAGGCCACTGGAGGTAGTGAAGAGGACATGGGAGACATGGTAGAGGCCATTGGAGGAACTTTTGAAGCCACTGGAGGCATTGGATAGGCCATTTGAGGCATTGCTGAGGTCATAGGAGGCATTAATGAAGGCCATTGAGTGGGGATAATCACTAAAAATAGGGGCTTTGTTTGATGTTGAAGGCTGTGAAATGTAGAGCTGGGGTGGTCTGCTGGGGGGAGGGGGGGATTGGTAAGAAGTGGGCAGTGGGGGAAATCACTTGGTTTTTCATAAATGCAGGGTCTGGTTAGAAGAGGTTCTCCTGCATTCTCTGGTGCAAGGAAAGTATACACTGCTCAAAAAAAATTAAAGGAAAACTTTGAAAACACATCGGATCTCAATGGGGAAAAATTTCACGCTGGATATCTATACTGATATGGACTGGGTAATGTGTTAGTTCCGTAAGGATGCCCCATCGTTTGATGGAAATGAAAATGATCAACCTACAGAGGACTGAATTCAAAGACACCCAGAAAATTAAAGTGAAAAAATGATGCAGCAGGCTTGTCCATTTTGCTGAAATTTTATTGTAGCAACTCAGAAGGGTACGCAGTAGTTTGTATGGCCCCCACGTACTTGTATGCATGCCTGACAACGTCGGGGCATGCGCCTAATGAGATGACGGATGGTGTCCTGGGGTATTTCCTCCCAGATCTGGACCAGGGCATTACTGAGCTCCTGGACAGTCTGAGGTGCAACCTGGCAGCATCAGATTGACCGAAACAAGATATCCCAGAAGTGTTCTATTGGATTTAGGTCAGGCGAGCGTGGGGGCCATTCAATGGTATCAATTCCTTCATCCTCTAGGAACTGCCTGCATACTCTCGCCATGAGGCCGGGCAATGTCACGCACCAGGAGGAACCCAGGACCCACTAAACCAGCGTAGGGTCTGAAAATGGGTCCAAGGATTTCATCCACTTAATGGCAGTCAGGGTGCCATTGTCTAGCCTGTAGAGGTCTGTGCGTCCCTCTATGGATATGCCTCCCCAGACCATCACTGATCCACCACCAAAACGGTCATACTGAACAATGTTACAGGCAGCATAACGTTCTCCACGGCTTCTCCAGATCCTTTCATGTCTGTCACGTGCTCAGGGTGAACCTGCTCTCATCTGTGAAAATCACAGGGCGCCAGTGGCGGACCTGACAATTCTGGTGTTCAATTGCAAGTACCAATCGAGCTCTATGGTGCCGGGCAGTGAGCAGAGGGCCCACTAGAGGACGTCATGAAGTCATGAAGTCTGTTTCTGATTGTTTGGTCAGAGACATTCATACCAGTGGCCCGCTGGAGGTCATTTTGTAGGGCTCTGGCAGTGCTCATCCTCTTCCTCCTTGCACAAAGGAGCAGATACTGGTCCTGCTAATGGGTTAAAGACCTTTTTACGACCCTGTCCAGCTCTCCTAGAGTAACTGCCTATGTCCTGGAATCTCCTCCATGCTTGAGACTGTTCTGCAAGACGCAGCAAACCTTCTGGAAATGACACATATTGATGTGCCATCCTGGAGGAGTTGGATTGCCTGTGCAGCCTCTGTAGGGTCCAGGTATCACCTCTTGCTACCAGTAGTGACACTGACCCTAGCCAAATGCAAAACTAGTGAAGAACAGAAAAGATGAGTATGGAAAAAAATGTCAGTGGCCTCCACCTGTAAAACCTTTCCTGTTTTGGGGGTCATCTCATTGTTGCCCATCTAGTGCACCTGTTGTGAGTTTCATTAACACCAAAGCAACTGAAGTGGATTAACAACCCCCCTCTGCTGCTTAACTGAACAGATCAATATCCCAGGAGTTTGAGTTGATGCTATACTCTAATTAAAAAGTGTTCCTTTAATTTTTTTGAGCAGTGTAGTTGAGTGGTGTAAATGTTTAGCATGCCTTCAACAGAGTGAATGTTTGCCCGAGTTTTAGCTGTGGTTAATTAAGACTGGATTTGTTAGAAGTGTGTTATGAAAGTTATGCTCTAGACCGTGCTCAAAGACAGTTCATAGAACTGTGCACATGGGCACATGTGCATAAGCGTTGTGCACATGCTCATGAGCATTCTAGTTTGATGGACTTTGGTGCCTAGTGGCCTATTTAAAGCCTTACAGGACTCTAGTTCATTGCAGAGTGGTCCTCAGCTCCCCGTTTGTGAATTGATCCTGTGCTCATCTATATCCTGACCCGGGTTGTTCATCCTGCTTGTTCCTGAACCTCTGCTGCTGACTCTGGCTTGTGTCTGACCTTGCTTCCTGCTTCAGTACATCTTCTGTTCACTTGATGCGGACAATGGCCTGGCTCTGACTGCTCCCAATTCCTGACTTTGCACTCCTGCTGCCTGGTTGTTGCTGACCTCTGTTCATCTGACCAGGCACCCGAGATCCAGTATCTTCCTACTGCCAACTGGCCTGCCCCTGCTCTGCATCTGCTTCCAAGATATTCCCAACTGGATTTCCTACAGGCATCCCGTGCTACTCTGTGCCCTGTTATACCCTCTCATCATCCCAGGGGAAACAGGACAAGAAGTGTAAGAGCAGCCCTCTTGTCAGCTCGGCCTCGACCAGGCACATGACAAAGTGAGGGCATTCCCTTGTGGAGTAGTTACGGAGTGGGATGAAGAAATAGGGTAGACATGTTCATGATGGAGTACACAGCAACCCAGGTGTAGACCGTCTTGTATGGAAGGCCTCATGGCTTATAAGGGTTCTAGGAACAAGTGGCGGTAATAGCATGCCATGAGACTAAGACTAAGCTCTGAATGGTGGAATTTCACAGCCAAGCTTGAAGAGTTCAACACTGTTTGAATACTTTTCAAATGCATTCCCACTTTTCAGGTTTCAAAAACATAAATTAATACTATCCAGGATACTAAATAAGTGTAACACAAGTAACAGATATTGGGTCTCATACCCGCTGTAAAACTACAGTACTGATCACAGGATGATTTTTTTTTTCTTTATTGTCCGTGCCACTGGTTCTTTAAGGCCCAGGCTTTGCCCATCATGGTGGTCAAACCCCCGAAAGATGTCTGCATCTGGGTTCTATAGGAATGGACCACAGTCCTGAACCTGTATAGCATCGTGTGGCTACCTATACATATTGTAATCAGTGTCAAGATGAGTGCCCAAAAGCAGGATCCAGTGCCTGAAGCGACATTACAGGCCATCCTCATAGGTATGGCTTCCAAGGTTTTACCAACTAACTGCACTGCTTCTATTGTTGTAGTAAAAGGCAGTGAGGAATTGACTGAAGAGGGGTGTGTGTCTAATCACCGGAACATACATGCCCGTACAAGTCTATAATCCAGAGTTTATGAATATCCAGCCTGTATCCTGGTACTGTACAATTAAGATAATCAAATATTTCAACATATCCCCATATTAACATTTTTTCTGTTTATCACCATTAGAGAAATTTCCCACCATCAATAAAGAGAATTTGATAAATGCTTAACCCTTTGCACAATTTTTATCTTTCCTCCAAGACATATATAACAGATAGAAGGCGGTGTTTGATTTACTAGTTTAATGTAAATGGAATTAACTGTACGTATGTATCTACCTCTTTAACCTCCTTAGCGGTATTCCCGAGTGTAGCTCGGGGTAAAATTTGAGTACCAAGAGCGGTAACCCCGCGCTACACTCGGGCTTACCATGAGGCGTTGCTCAGGGGTCCCTGCAGCACTTACCTTGTCCTTCGCTCCCGCAATGTGTCCCCTGCAGCGTCCCCGGCCATCTCCTCCGGCCGATGCCGGCATCCGGCTACCGTGTTCCGGTCCCTGTGACGTCGGGATGTACGGGCGCCGGAACCGGCGGCAAATTTGAAATTTTTTAAAAATGTATTTTTTTAAAAATGATTATTACATAGTAGAACATTGCTGTTTCAATGCTTTTTACATACATTTTGTCCCGAGTGCTTTGTCCTGTGCCCTGCCTGCATTTTGTCTGTTCTTTCTGCCTGGAAAACTTAGAAAAGTCCATGGCGTCCAAAAAGCGTCCCTTTACGTCAAAAGCGGTTTTAGACCGGCTAGAGAACAGCGATAGTAAATCAGAACCACTTGCAGAATTGAGTGATAATGATTTGTGGGGGAAATTCATCATCAGACACTGAAAACGATTTTGCGACTTTGCTCAGCGATGTGCGAATTTGCCTCTGTATTTCAAATTTCAGTGTTTTTGGTTTGATTTTATTATTGAATTAAATTTATTATTATATTTTTTATGATTATTAAACTATAATTTATGATTTCGTGTTTCAAATTTTATCCTACCGGGACGTTTACTAGACTCTTGTTCGGACAGATTTCAGTGAGTTATTCCTAAAAATTACAGCCTACAATAAAAAACTACATATTTCCATGCAAAAAAAATGGTACCGCTTTCAGCACAAAAAAATCGGAAATAATCAGACCGCTGAGGAGGTTAACAAAAAAGTAAAAGCACAGATTCCAAGAAATAAAATAACCTTTATTAATCACATTAACTTATTTAGCTCACAGATGATGCAATTTGCATGAACATTTTATAAAAAAAAAAAAAAAAAAAAAAAAAAAACACCCCAGAAAAACCCCCCCCCCCCTACTAATGCTTCTCATCAGATGGACTGGAGGTATAGCTTTCTTCTTCACTGAAGGACGGTACAGATTCCTGGAAAACATCAAATAGAAGTCTTAGGTGGACGACATATGAGGAGATAATACAGCGGCATAAATGACTTGATATTTTGCACAGTGCAGTAACTCTTAACCAAAGTAGCATTGTCCTCCTTCTGAGCCCTACACATACACATTGTGCTCTCTGCTGAGCTCAGTTATGAAATGGGAGAGAAAATACTGCAGCTGCTGAGGATATCTACAGTGACAAGAGATATCGCTGCGCATGAGTGGGGCTCAGAAGGACAGCGCATAATCCCCACCCCAGTACCCATAGGGGGTACTTGTCCCAAAGACTGGTCCATCCTAGAAAGGAGGGCAGGACGGAGCTGTGAAAAATATCAGAAGTGTTTGGGGCAAGATTAACTCACAAAGAATGGATATTTTTAAAACTTATGGAATAGTGTTCATGGACTGAATATAGTCTTTTTTTTTTAAATGTGAACTAACCCTTTAAACAACAATCTTCTCAGTAATTTATTTTAGCCATGTGTTTTATCTATAATAAAAAAAAAAAAAAAAAAAAAAAAAAAAAAAAGATTTCCTTGTTAAGATATCCAAAAGTCCTGAGACTGCTGTTGAATTTCTTCTTGGATGTCATATTAGCAGCCCCAGCAGAATCTGCGCTGCCACTCAAGTGACACCGTATAGTATTCCCTATACCTTCTCCTTTGGCTACTACATAAAAGTTTATGTACGGAGGGGCATAGGAGCTGGACCAGCATAGACAGTGCTAGGACACTAACAGGACAGACACTTCCGGGAAGAGAAGAATGCATGCAAGGAGTGAGAAGGCTATGTTAGGGAACTGGCTCTTCAGAAGTAGTCAAATTTCCTAAGAAGTTTAGCAGCACATAGTAAAAGGAATAAAAAATAATGTATGGAATGGAAAAAAACATTGCAGGCAAGCATTTTAAATACCTGCAATTTTCTGTGCTGTTACCTGTAATTTTTTTTCAAGCTGGTGACATGTTGTCTTTGAGCTGGAGCTTGAATAAGGCTAAGTCAAAAAAAACAAAAACCGCTCTATCTAGTTAATCTACAGATCTCTATACTTGTCACAATAGCTAAAACACATAAGAGCAAGCATTTATAAAAGTGTAAAAGTCATATCAAGTGTTTGTCTTCCAGAATCGAAAAACTGTTAAAAGATTTTTTTTTTCAACGTGCAAAATAATGGAGCATTATCTAAATTCCCCTAAAACACATAAATTGACTTCTGAATGTCACTGTTAATCTACATCTCCCCTTTCCTAGGCTTCTATTAAAAAAAATATATGAGGTTTAGTGCCTCCATGGCTCTGAAGAGTTGAAAGAGCCAAGTGAGATGAATATATATTTAAATAAAACAAAATAGCTTTTGCTAGTTTTGTAGAAAAGATGAAAGGCGAAAAAAAACAAAAAACAATTAGTGGTCAATAAAAATAAGGGATTAAAACCACCTTTCAAGCTGCACAACATGGAGATAGCAGCCCCAGTGGATTGTGGGCGAAGCTTTACCTTCAATATGACCTGCAGATGTGGGGCTGATCGTATCTGATGCTTTTAACACAATAATCCAGCGAAGGTTATCTACTCCCGAGAGTATAACTAAATTAATCCTGCAGCTCTGAGCCGCCAACACTTCACATGAACATCACATCCCATAGAGAAATTGCGCTCAAGATTTAATCCCCGTGTAATTAAGTAGACAACTTTTTTTTTTCCCTTTTTAAAGAGAGCAACAGTGTTGAGTTTATTATGGGGAGGCAGAACATTCGCATACAATCTTTAGAGGTGTGCGTAATTAGAAAGCACTCACTTGGGGTTCGGGGAAAGGGACAGGCTTGCCTGCATTCCTTAGACTGGTTGCTAACAGTTTCAAGGAGTCTTCATTTAGCTCTATCTGTTCGGCTTTCATGCTCTCGAACAAAGCGAGGGCATCGTCGAATTTCTTTCTGGTGACTAGGAGGAAAAAAAATAACAAAAGGAAAAACAAACACATAAGCCTTAAAGTAGGTATCTTAAAAATCAGAACTGGTTTTTAACCATTCCAGCTTTCTCACCTGTGCACTCATTATGGACAAGAACAATTCCTACATTTCTGCTATGGTCTTTGCTTAACCACTTGCCGTCTGCCTGCTGTTTATATAAACGGCAGGGCGGTGGCACTCCAGGGGCCGGTTGCTGTTCATAAACGGCACCCGCCTTTCTAGCTGTGCGCGCTCCTTGGGGAGCGCGCAGCACTGTGATCTGATGCCTGCTGTGTCCTCCGGACACAGTGAAAACACCGATCGTCGGACGGGACCTCTGTACGAGGTCCCGATCACGTGATCACTGATTGGCCAATCAGTGATCACATGCAAAGTAGTAAGCAAGATGTCACTTGTGACATCATTGGTTACTACGTGTGAAATCTGTGAATGATCACAGAGGTCACATGGTACAAGGCTATTCACAACAGCCTTATACCATGTGACAAGCTGTGACCAATCACAGCTCACTCAGTATTTCTCAATGGCTGCAAGAATGCAGACAGAGAGAAAGAGAAATGAAATGATTGCATTTACATCCTATATGGGTGTAAAAGCAATCACTGTTAAAAAAAAAAAAAAAAATCTTCATCACCCCCTACAAGTAGTACAGTGTCACCATGGTGACACTGTACTGCTAGGGTGACAGTATGTAAAAAACAAAACAAAAACAAAACATAAATAATATAAAAAAATAAAATAAAAAACAGAACAAAAACAAAACATAAATAATATAAAAAAAAAAAATAAAAATGTTTAAAAATTATCATTTTTGGTTATAAACTAATTTGGCTTTTTTTTTTTTCTAAAAATATAACGAATACATTTTGGTCAAGATTTATGATGAAAGATTATTTATTTGCAAAATTTTATAAGAAAAACACTTTTTTTCAAAATGTTTGGATTTTTTCATTTACATAGCAAAAAAAAAAAAAAAAAATCCCAGCGATGAATAAATACCACCAAAATAAAGCTTTATCTGTCTCAAAAAAATAGTAAAACATTCATATGGGTACAGTGTTGCATGACCGCGCAATTGTCATTCAAAGTGTGATAGCGCTGAAACCTGAAAATTGCCCTGATCAGGAAGGGGCAAACGTGTCCGGACTGGAAGTGGTTAAGTAAATGACAATTATTATATAAACCAACAAAGCAATACACATTTGTTTTTAAAGAAAAATAAGGCTCTCTTTTGTTGATATTGTCATGCAAACAAAAGGATTTTTGGCTTAAAGCGGTAGTAAGCTTCTCTTTGTGATTTTTACCTAGAGGTAAGCTTATAATAAAGCTCACCTGTAGGTAGGATGAATGTCTCCTAAACGTTCCCCGTTAAGGAGATATCTGCTTGTTTGGCAGCCGGTGACGTTACACAGCATATGCCAAGAAGGAGTGGCATTACTCATGTCATTCCTTCAGAGCTCTGTGCCGCGACCATGCCTCCCGAAAGCATGCGTGGAAGTAACGTCATCGTTGCTCGGCCATTCAAACAGCTGGAGCCCACAAACCCGTAAGGAAGACCAGGTGAAGATGGAAGCCCTGTCAGTGGAGACCGCGTGCCACGGGAAGGCTTTGTTTCAAGGTAAGTCCTTCATAATATTCTAGCATGCAGTGCATACTAGCACATTATGATACTATCTTGTAGGAGGAACATTTTTTTTCATAGGCTTACTACCCCTTTAAAAGTGATTCTAAAGGTATATTTTTTTCTTTAAAATAACAAACATTTGACATGTACCTGCTCTGTGCAACGGTTTTGGATCCTCCTCTTCTTTGGTCCCTTGCTCCGGGCTCCCCCCCCCACTTCTAACTGCCCCCATAGCAAGCAGCTCATTCCCCAGCTGGCCCTGTGTGCCCATAAACACACACAGTGCTGTTCGGCCCCACCTCCTGCTCTCTACTCTCTGGCTGTGATTGACGGCAGCAAAAGCCAATGGCTCCTGCTGCTTTCTCCATGGCCAGTGAGGAGAGAGGCGCTGCTCTCGAGCACAGTTCTGTATCAATACAAGGTAAGTATAAAGGGGAGCTGCATACAGAAGTTTTTTTTTTTTTTTTTTTACCTAATGCAAAAAACGCATTAAAAGGTAAAAAAAAAAAAAAAAAGGAAAAAAAAACAAAAAAACCTGCCTTTAGAACCACTTTAACCTGTAAATTAATTTTATTTGTACATTATAGACACAGGATCTAAGTGTTGAATTACTGGCTTATGCAGCCAATGTCAGGTGACTGGACGCTGGCAATCACAGCTGTGAGGATAAGTCGTAGCATAACCCTCCCAGTCGCAGCAGGCCTCAGGTCAGTAGAAAGCAATTATAAAGGAACAGAGGAGATGGACCTGTGTCGAGTAACATACTTAAAGAAGAGGATTTTTATAGGTAAGTAAGATATCCTTTTTTCTTAATTGAACATTACAGGACAAAGACTCTTAGTCATAGATAACAGATGCCAAAAGCTATGCAGCTGAGGGGTGGGCAACACAAATTCCAACAGACCCAAATAACAAACGGAAAGCTGAAAAAGCAGTCTGAAGGACCTTAGGCCTAAAAAATGGCACCAGAAGATGCTGGAATATCCGCCTGGTAAAACAAATGTATTAACATAAGATCAGGTGACAGTCTTGTTAATCTGGAAAACAGAGGACTATGAAGCATTGACCTAACTATTACAGTGTGGGCTACCAGAAGCAACCTTAAAAGGATCTTCAGGAATGAAAAACTGGGAATCATAATGTCTAAAAAGAAGAAGTTGTAGTTGAGAGGTAGACTTGAAGACTTGAAGAGGAATCTCTCTGGAATGTTTCTGAGTAGGAGATAAGAGGGAAGCACTAGGTCTTTATTAAGGTGGAAGGAGGAAACTACCTTGGGAAGAATAAAAAAAAAAAAAAAAAAGCTTTAGGCTGCAAGACAAATTTATCCTTGTGCAACGTCAAGAAGGGTTCCTTACAGGAATAAGGTCGCTAACTTTGAGACATGTGTTGCAGAGGTGGCAGCTACAAGGAAGGCAACCATGAGAGTCATGAAACCAAGCTGAGGTCACAGAGGGGTGGACAGCAAGTTTGATAGCATAAAGCAGGATGGAGGCAAGGACCAGAACTCACGTAGCTCCAGATACAATGTTCTGGACCCAGATGTCTGAAATGTCTTGTACCAAAAGGCCATGAATGCCAACAAGCCCCCACCCCCCCCCAACCCTGTCAAGAAGTTACTGTGAGAAACGAAGGAACTCTTCTTAGTTTCAGGAACTGTAGTATGCATTTAGGGTTTTGCTGCCTTCTTCTGGGGTAAGAGCCCTCTTTCCTTCTGTTTATGTTGATGTAAGTGTCCAAGGAGTTAGCAAACTGCGCTGGCCTTCAAAAGGCATCCAAAGACACTTCTTGTAGGGAAGTTCCACAGAAGAACACTTAAAGCAAAGAATCCTTTGCATATGTACCAAAAGGATGCTCATCCTGCATATTCAGCAGAGGATACAAGCTAACCTGTCCACGCAGTAGCAAAAGGCAAGAGCTCCAACTGCTAGAAGACAGATAGATCCATGAAAATGGACCCAGGGTCCAGGACCATGTACTTGGAGTAGACAGCTGAAGCATAGCAGGACCAGGGAGAGAAACAAGTGACATTCTCAACAGTAAGGGTTTTTATAAAGGTAGGATGTGGCTGGATCCACAACAGGGACAGACCACTTCTTTAGGAACCCCTCCTCAACAGGGCATTGCTGAGCAAAGTGTTTGGAAGGGCCGAAAATTTTTTTCAGGATGAGGACAGTTAACAAGACAGTGAGTGCTGGGAATGTTATGGCCCACCGAGCCACCTATAAAGAACCTAGGCTGGTGACCCTTGGTTAGGCCAACCCAGAAAGCTCCAAAGCCTTGCGTACTGCTTCAATACTGATAGAAACAGTATCCTTCAGCTTGGAGAGAGATAAATGCTGATTGAGCATTCTCCTGTGAGAAGTCCACTGAGCCAGATGAAAACCTATCCTCCTATTCAAGAAGCATAAAAGCTGTAAGAGCAGAATTAGAGATGAACTCTGGCACAAGATGTCAGCATGTGTTCCCTGAAATCTGAGGTTTCCTACAGGGCAGACAGCCTATCCATAAAATCAGGCATAGTGGTTGAAAATTTCCCTCTGGAAAGTTTAAAAGTATGGAGGTGTGCTAGACAGAACTGGAGAGTCTGCAGTGGGTGGCGACAGACTGAGAACAATATTCAGGACCGCTAAGGAAATGCTGCAGACCCCCACCTGAGCCGTTAAGAGTGTGACCTTGCAAGGCCCGCTGACCCACTCTCTTTGCACCTATCAATGAGTGGGGGACGAACCCCATAGGGTACTTAGGAACTGTACTGTAAACCAGAAAAAGGGTTAGCCTTCTGTTAACAGTTTCTGGGACAAGGGGAGCAAAGAACATCCAAGGATCTCTAAACAGTATAGCAGGAGAATGCAGGAAGTAGATGTGCCAGCTGACCATGCGCCCAAGACACCAAAATGGTGCATTCCTACATAGTCACTGTGAGACCAAAGCTGCGCAGATGTAGAAGCAGCCCTAACCCATGCAGGATCGCAGGATAACAAGATCAAATGTGCAAACTTTGAACACAGGCAGTGGCTGAAACTCCAGCAGAACTCTCCTATCTCAAGCCGCCTCCCCCGTTTCCCATTACACATTGCTGCTGGGACAGGATTTTCTTGCGGTAAAGCAGCATAGGTCGTAGGTCCTACCTATTTTGTACCTCCCCTTGCCAAATCAGCTGACACTTCGGCCTACCCCTTAGTGTGACTACACATTTAAACATTATTTTATTTTTTCCCAGCAAATAACACTGTGGCCTTGAATACCAAGAGCTTGCCCACACACTACATGTAGGCTTTTGGAAAATGTAGTTCTGGGGGTACATGCCTACATCAGTAGGAACTGAACTCCCAGCAACTGTCCTTGCAAAAAATTAATGCGTGGGCTTAAAGAGGGAAGAGGAATAAGAAGAGAAAAAAGAAAGGACTAAAAAAAAAAAAAAAAAAAAGGGGGGGGTTGGTTCAGTCAATTTTTAAGTTGACTTTTATTGACCTGGGTAGTAATGAAGGGGCACACAGTTCAAATTGTAGTAATTTTGGTAGCAAATAGACAAAATTTATGGCACTTTCCACCTCCACGTCAAAACAACTACATGAGCTAAGCGTGCCCATTCCTAACATTACTGATTTTCACAGGGTGCGGGAATAATATTTTATTTGACCCAAAGCCTGTCACCCCCATTGCACTTGGCTCAAATGGAGTTCGCTTTCCTAGCACACATATGCAGCAGTCCCTTCCTACAGTCACACCATGCTCGAGTGCTTATTTCCAGATACTGGATGTATGTACTTACCATGATGACAAACACGAAGCAGCGATACATTATCTGGATGTTACACCTCTACGGTTTACAAATGACACCATAAAATATGTAAATAAATAATAAACTAGTGAATACAAAGTAACCTGTTCTTTTCCAAGTCTGTACACCAATCACTGCAAACAGCACCATGACTCAATATCATCATCCGTTTTCTGCATGCATAAAATATATGTTCTGCACTGTAATATTAATTAGAATCCATATTACCCTAAAAGGACATCTGCGGTGCCTACTACTAAATTATTCATGTTTTTGGTCCATTTGTCTGAATGTTGGAAGAAGGAAATCTCTACATTTAGTAATAAACTGGAAACACTGAGCCAAATATTTCATGAAAGGTTAATGGTGGTGCATGCCATAGACCACACTTACTGTAACGTTTCATCAGGGATTGGTACCCAACCTGTTTGTAAATAGGATCCTTCAGTATATCTAGCAGCTCGTCAACGACAAACGTGTTGTTTCTACAGGAGATATAAAAAAAAAAAAGTGAAAGGTTAGCAGGGAAAAGTACTTGAACAAATTAAAGTGGACTGAGTACCAGATATGATATTTTTTGTGTTGAATTGAAATGAAAAGGATTTTTTTTTTTTAATAATAAACATGTCATACTTACCTGCTCTGTGCAATGGTTTTTGCACAGAGCAGCCCTGATCCTCCTGTTCTCGGGTTCCCCGCTGGCACACCTTGCCCGTCCCTCCAGCCTAAATCCCCCGCAGGGGTGTCAAACTGGCGGACCTCCAGCTGTTGACAAAGTACAAGTCCCATCATGCCTCTGTCTTTTGGAGTCATGCTTGTAAACTGTCAATCTTGCAATGCCACATGGGACTTGTAGTTTGGTAACAGCTGGAGGGCCACAAGTTTGACACTCGTGCCCTAGAGCATACAGCTTGCTACGGGGGCACCAAGCAGGCTCACTCCCGAGCCACTCCTCTGTTTGCATTTACACACAGAGCCACGGCGTGGCCATGCCCCTTCTTTCTCCTGATTGGCTGTGATTGACAGCAGCGGGAACCTAGGAATCTGGAAGGTAAATACCTGAAAAAAAAAATAAAATAAAATTGTACCCATGTTCAAATATATATGGACCTAACTTTACATATGCTTTTATGTGTAAAGCCCAGATCCATCTACACTGCTGAAAAATGTACCTAAATACTCAACTCTGGCCTTGCCTTCAAGTCTTGCACAGCTGTACAGGCTCCCTTTCTGTACTAAAATTGCTTACTCTGATTTCACTGCATGATGAGAGTTTCTCACAATGGAGAATTAAGGTGGCTCTAAACTAGTAGTTTTTCAGACAAACCTTTGTATGAATACTGGCACAAAAATTCTCAGAACAATTGATGACATGACTTGATGCATGTCTTTCAAAAGCACTTAAAAATGTTGTTTGCATTTAACATTTGATTTCAGAATTAATATAATTTCACGAACAAAAACCACATTTACTGTTAAAAAATGGTTTGTTCCAAAAAAATTTTGCATCCTGTTTCTTAACATTTTCTCATCGCTATGGTCAAACGCGAATGTTGGTTTTACCCCACTAATGACTAGAAAATTGAATGAGGGTTCTTAATGGCTTCATAGGCAGAAAGCAGGAACCTACAAAGGATTCTGAGGCTGCAGTGCAAGGCTTGTTTATCCTGGTCACAGACACACATATTGCAACATACGTGACTACAATATAAATAAGTGTAGTGGTCTAGGGGCTGGCACTCTTGCTGGCAGGGTTTATTATAAGCAGTGACACCATATGCTTGGGGTTTATATGTTCCACTTGGAATTAACCCAAATAACTATTACTATTATCTCCTCAAGAAACTACACTCCCTTGCCTCAGAGGCTCCGCTCTCTCCTGGCTCTCATCCTACAGTTGGGCAAAAAAGTATTTAGTCAGCCATCAATTAGGCCAACATACCAGCAACAGTGTGTGCCAACCTTGTGAAGACTTACAGGAAACGTTTGACCTCTGTCATTGCCAACAAAGGATATATAACAAAGTATTGAGATGAACTTTTGATATTGACCAAATACTTATTTTCCACCATAATTTGCAAATACATTTTTTCCAAATCAGCCAATGTGATGGTCTGGATTTTTTTTCTCATTTTGTCTCTCATAGTTGAGGTCTACCTATGATGCCAATTACAGGCCTCTCTCATCTTTTTAAGTGGGAGAACTTGCACAATTGGTGGCTGACTAAAATACTTTTTTGCCCCACTGTACCTATCACAACACTCCTTCAGCGTTACCTATAACACTACCACCTCCCCCCCACTCCTCCTCTCTGTTGGGGTCCCTCAAGGCTCTGTCCTCGGGCCCCTTCTCTTCTCCATCTATGCCTCCTCCCTTGGCCAACTGATACACTCTCACGGCTTCAACTACCACCTCTATGCCGACGACACGCAAATCTATCTCTCGACCCCTTGCCTCACCCCCTCAGTCTCCGCCTGAATCACCAGCCTACTAAACGACATATCAGATTGGATGTCACTCCGCTTCCTTAAACTGAACCTCTCCAAAACCAAGCTCCTGGTCTTCCCCCCAGCCTGCGCCCCCCCCCCCCCCCCACTGACTTCTCCATCACGTCCAACCATGCCACCATCAAGCCCACCCCACAAGCCAGAGTACTTGGTGTCATACTAGACGCCAATCTATCCTTCCAGCCCCAAGTCCAATCGCTAACAAACTCATGCAGACTCCACCTCCGCAACATCACCAAAATCCGCACTTTCCTAACCCCAGAAACCACTAAGCAGCTCATCCACTCCCTCATCATATCACGACTCGATTACTGCAACTCCCTCCTCACTGGCCTGCCTCGCCACAGGTTATCCCCACTTCAGTCGATCCTGAATACGGTGGCCAGACTCATCCACCTTACCAACCGCTCCGTTTCCACCACCCCCCTCTGCCAATCCCTCCACTGGCTTCCGATTGCCCAATGGATCAAATTCAAAATCCTAACACTGACGTACAAAGCTGTCCATAATACTGCCCCAAACTACATCACCGACCTGATATCCAAATACCACCCAAAACACACTCTCCGCTCCACACAAGACCTCCTTCTCTCTATTTCCCTGGTCTCCTCCTCCCATGCCCGCCTCCAGGACTTCTCCAGGGCATCACCCATCCTCTGGAACTCCCTACCCCAATCCATCAGACTATTATCCACTCTCCTCTCCTTTAGGCGCACCCTGAAAACCCATCTCTTCAGGGAAGCCTACCCCACCCTCTGCTAACTGCCGATCTCCTCCACTCTTCCTACCACCATCCATCCCCCACAGCTTTTCCTCCTGTACCACTATCCCCTCCCTCCTAGATTGTAAGCTTCAAGGAGCAGGGCCCTCGAACACCCCTCGTGTATCGCACTGTATTGTTATTGTACTGTCTCATGTATTGTCTCCTATTGTAATGTACAGCGCTGAGCAAACAGTTGGCGCCATATAAATACTGTATAATAATAATATACTATCCAAAACAGAGAGAGAAAAAAAAAATCCATAATAATTTGTCTGGAGTCGGGCTTTAACCACTTGCCCTCCAGAGGATTTACCCCACTTTCTGACCAGGCCATTTTTTGCAATATGGTGCTGCGTTATTTTAACTGACAATTTCACGGTCATGCAACACTCTACATAAATGAAATTTATGTCTTTTTTTCCCCCCACAAATAAAACTTTCTTTCAGTGGTATTTGATCGCCTGTGCTTTTCTTTTTTTTTTAGCTATAAACAAAAAAAAGACCGACAATGTTGGAAAAAAAAATATTTTTGATAGTTTGCTATAAAACATATCCAATAGAAAAAAAAATCAAATTTCTTCATAAATTAGGCCAAAATGTATTCTGCTATATGTCTTTGCTAAAACCCCCTCCCCCCCAATACATGTATATTAACTGGTTTACGTGAAAGTTATAGTGTCTACAAGTGGCAGTATATATACTGGAATTTTTATTTTATTTATACTAGTAATGGCGGCGATCAGCGATTTATAGTGGGACTGTGGCTGTGGCGGGCATTCTGACACTGGGGGAGGACTATCACTGGCATCCCCAGTGACACTTATACAGTGATCAGTGCTAATAAAAAGCACCGACACTGTACTAATGGCACTGGGTAGGAAGAGGTTTAATATCTGGGGCAATCAAAGGGTTAACTGTGTGCAGTTTTACCTGGGAGACATGCTGCTTTGTATCTCTCTGCTCTGCAGAGAGATACAAAACAGCATGCCCATGCTGACAGCAGAGAGACCTGTGTTGTTTACACACAGGTCTCTCCCCTGTCAGCTTTGCCGATGATCACCAAGTGCTGGCCGGGAATTGGCGGCCGGGACCCGGTGATTGACATCCCCAGCCGCCAATGCCAATAGTGGCGTGGGTAGGGTAGTGCACGTGCGTGCCCCCTATCAGGAGATGCAAATCATGTATATGTATGTAATTGTGCGCAGCCCTGCTGCCCTGTAGCAGTACTTCTGCTATAGGACGGATGGCAAGTGGTGAAGACACCATCTAACTGCTGTGCATCTCACCTCGGAGAGACAACTTCCAGTTCCACTGCCTGCAACCTGTTAAAGTCTAAGGCAGGCTGCAGCTGGATGGGGCTGAATGCTGTAGAGAGTGGTACACACATTTAAGGGCCTTTGCATTTAGGGATGACACCTGGGGGAGGGGAAACACAGAAGCTAGATGGCTCTGTGTGCAAGGGGCCTAAAGCTGCTATTCCAATGGCAAAAATGTGGACACATCGCAGCACAGAAACCCTCCTGAAGAAGAAAACAAGTATATTTTAGGATTGGTTCATATCCTTTCCTCATTCACACTGGCACTGTCAAACCTGTTTTTATAGACGTGCCATTCACACTTACTGCAATAAGGTGCGGTCAATTTAGCTGCATCTAGAGAAAATTAAATTCTGTGCATTCAGGATCCGGTTAGATGCTTCAAATGAAAAAATAAGCATGGATGTGCATGCAGACCCACCTAAACTCAGCTAAATCAAGAATATCCAAACGCAGAAAAATGTGATCTGGGAGGGATAAAGTTGTTTATATTTCCTGGATCACTTTTTTGTGTTTGAAAAGCTAAAATGCAGATCTGCCAGTGTGAAAGAGGCCTTAAACCGTTACTAAACCCAAAAGCATCATTATATTGCAGCTTACCAATCAACCTTAGAAGTGGTGGATGCATTAGGTTTCCGTTTTAAGCTCTTTTATTTTCACCTGGTGATCCAGTCAGTAAGTCTGTTATTTTTTAACGGAACAAGCTGTCCCACAATTACAGCAGTTATAGGTTTGAGAAAAACCATTTACCGCTGACAGGAGTGCTTACAATGTTCAGCTTTTATTCATTTATTTAAATCTTTTATCCCAAAGGGAAATAACTGCTTAGAAAGCGTTGGCTGGAGTTTGGCTTCAATTTCTTAGTACATCTAAATCTGCTAGTACATCTAACACCCCCCCCCCCCCCCCCCCAGACTGACAATGCTGCTGTCCAAAAGGGGTCTTTGTTGCTCATTCATCCAGAGTGCAGACACTCTAAACCAGTGTTTCTCAACCTTTTTTCAGTCAAGGCACTCTTTAAAATTATGGACAGTCTTGAGGAACCCCATTCTAAAAAGGGGCAGGAGAGGGTCAAACCAATGTGCTGTGCAGGCAGCTGATATCCTCCTTATAAACTGATGATGTCATTGGTTGTCAGGACGCTGGCAGCTAGAAGGTCGTAATGGTGCACAATGAAAACATGTGACTTTGTGTAACTTGTTCCACCCACTGGCTTGTATACAAGGTTTGGGCAATTTTTAGACATTTTGCCAAGTCACCCCTGAAGAAACCTCAAGGCACCCTACTGTGCCTGGGCACCCTGGTTGAGAAAGGCTGCTCTAAACTTAGGTCCACACTATTGCATGTACGCATGTAAATCACATGCATTCCTGAACCCACAGGCAAAATTGTGCTGCTCTTTAGCAGACGCAGGAGAGTACCATTAATTCTTAGAGGCACTCCCACGTACTTAAAAACGCAGCTCATTTTCAGGTGCGGGAGACCGCACGGGGCCGCAGCACCATGTGGTTTCTTGCAGCTGCCCTCCGGCTCTGATTTTAAAAAAGGGTCAGGGATTTTCCCTGTGAGAAACACAGGTACACACGATTCAAATGAATGGGCTGCTGTGCCCACACATGTGGCATGCAGGGTCTGCAATAGTGTGAACCTAGCCTAATACAGGAGGTAGGTTACTGGTTGGATTACCAGGTGAAAAAGGGGAAAAGCCTAAAAAAAAAAAAAAAAAAAAACAAAAAAAAAAAAAACGAATGCAGCCACCAAATTTAAGGATTGGTAAGCTGCAATATATAAAATTTTTGGTTTGGGCTTTATTACTCCTAGATTGTAAGCTCGAAAGAGCAGGGCCCTCAATCCCCTCATGTTTTGCATTGTATTGGTATTGCTCTGTCACATGTTCTGTCCCCCTCTGTAATGTACAGCGCTGAGCGAACTATTGGCGCTTTATAAATACTGTATAATAATAATAATAATAATATTACCGCTTAAAGTGGATGTAAACCTCAGACATGAAATAGGAATAAAGCATATCCCTCTATAGTGAGTACTTGTCTCAATCCAGAGCACTAAGTGTCATTTCTGCCCGCCTGCTTCCTTCTATCTGCACCAGTCACTTTTGACAAGATTTCCAGACACCAATGAGAAAAATGGTGACAGGGGAGGAACCTCCAGCAGATTGACAGCCTCAGCTCTGTTCCTGTGAGCTGTATGAAGGGGGGTGTGTCCCTTCCCTCCAATCAGCTCTCAGAGTTCTCCTCACTGAGCTCTGCAGAGTGCAATTTCAGTTCTCCGTCTGTTCTTTCTGAACTCTCAGACAAGCTTTATAAATTCAGCACTTTGAACTGATATAGAGAATAACATACAAACAGGTCTAACTTATGTAGGCAGATTTGTTTCATCTCTGTGTATCACCTGAGGCCAGTCACTTCACTGGGTATATGTAAGGGTTTGCAACTACTTTAAACGATAAATGGAATCCACTTTAACCAGTTTAAAAGCTGTATCATGTAGTGATGGTACAACACAGCAGAATATTATAGTATATACAGAAATATACCATACCTGACCGCCATAAGCTCTGTTTGAAACGTGTTGGCACAGAAATTCAACTTGTTCCAGAATAGCGCTGCATCTCTGTAGAGAAGAGCAGAGAACAGAAATGTCATCAGAAGTGCTAAACTGCTAGAATTAAATCAAAGTTTTTTTTTGTTTTTTTTTAATGCAGAATACTAAGGGACATCAACTACAAGAGAAACGATTAAAAGCTCAGTAAAGAATCATTACTGCCTAATAGCAGCTTACAAAGAAATACAGTAGCTGCCTAATCATGCCAATCTGTCATAAATTTGTCCTTGGCACGGCAAGCTGCAGGTTTGTTTAAAAGGAAAAAAAAAAAATAAACTAATGCTTTGGCAGACCAAAGAACTGAGGTTTAGAACTGGAAAAGAAAGAGAGGGGGGGGGGGAGAATTCTTTTCGTCTCCAATTATACTGCCAAGCATTCATAAGTGAGCTTGGGATCATAAGGTTAATTATACATTTAATAAGGTGTCAGGGAGATAACTGCTCGTTTCTTTATAAAAATTAAAATGTACAAAGCAAGTTCTCTTTAAAGTATAATTACCTACACTTATGCATACAAAAGGACTGATTTCAATCTGTTTTATAAAAGGCTTTCAATGCAACAGTCAGTTCTTGAGAGAGAGACAAAAGTTGAACTTAGGGAGGGGGGGGAAAAAAAAAAAAAAAAAAAAAAAAAAAAGTTTACATGACAAGCTGGGGAAATCAAGTGTCTGTCCTACACTACAGAATGATGCATAATCACCAGTGATAAGACGATGTTGTATGCAGTAGTCAGGACAGCTGTTGTGGCTTTTAAAGCGAGACAAACAAAAATCGAACCAGTGAACTGCGAACGCTAGCCAGAAAATACTGCAGCTGTGCTCAAGTCAGCAGGTCAATTCATCCTAAAGGGTAACGGTACACTTAGCGGAGATTTTAAAGCTATAGGCTGCAAGAAACTAAATGAGCCCAGGTGTAATTGTAAAGGCAAATAAAAAAATAATGAACATGTTAAACTTACCTGCTTTGTGCAATTGTTTTGCAAAGAGCAGCCCAAATCTTCCTCTTTTCAGTGCTACTGGCTCCTCCGTTGGCGATCCTGGCTCCTCCTACTTGCCAAACGCTCCCATAGCAAGCCGTTTGCTATGGGGGGCACACATGTGTGCTCGCTCTTGAGCCACCTGTGTGCCCATAAGAGACAGAACGCGGCTCGGCTTTGCCCCCGCTCCCTCCTCACTGACTACAACTGACAGAAGAGAGCCAGGAGAGCTGCTGTTCTCATGCACATTGCTGAATCGAGATTGGGCTCTGGTATGTATTATAGGGCTGGGGGAAAGGGGGTGGGGACTGGGTGAGGGGGTGGAGAACTGCAAACTGAAGGATTTTTACCTTCAAGCATAGAATGCATGCAGGTAAAAAAAAAAAACCTTCAGTTTTTAGAACCAACCACTTTAACTGATGATCTCCTCAATTAAACAGGGGCTCCTTTCGGTTTTTTTTTGTGTTCCTGCGCTACAGTTTCTGTTTACATGCTTTCTGTCAATCTCCCTAATACTCCCTCTAGTGGTGCCTGGTAGCAGCAGCTGAGCCAGTAAAGTCATATCTTGCACTGATGAAGGCTATGAAGCCTGAAATAGCTGCATGCAAGTTGGTATTACTTGTGCAGTAAAATTATGGGCTAAAATCATGCTGTTCACTAGCAGTTCTGGATGCAAAGATGACGCAAATAGGGCCCAAAATAATGATTTGCATGATTCCATCCACTCACCCATAAGCAGCCACTGTTCCTGCATGGAGTCTGTGTTTTCCCTTTACTTGTGTGGGTTTCCTCTGTGTGTATTCCAGTTTCTTCCCACACTTCAATAATATGTTAATTGGCTCCTGTGTAATCTGGCCCTAGTATGTTACTTTTTTATGTGTGTTTTTCACTCATCCTGATAGAAGGGTGTGGCAGGTTTTTGGATCTGCCTGAAGACTAGGGAGAAATGTGTGGGTTTCCTCTGGGTATTCCAGTTTCTTCCCACACTTCAATATGTTAATTGGCTCCTGTGTAATCTGGCCCTAGTATGTTACTGTGTAATCTGGCCCTTAGGTTCCTTACCCCCTTGCCCAGGGAAAGGGGGGGGGGGGGGGTAGACAGTGGTTGGCTTTGGCTGTTTACAAAGAGGAGGCATCTGCCAAATCTTTTGGATATGTGCACTTGAGAGCCTTTATGTATATTCACCAGCGCACAACTTCGTACTCCAATATTCCTGTCTTCTCAACAAGATTTCCGTAACTAGAATGTGTTGTATGCCATAGATTATAGATTGTAAGCTCCAAGGATCAGGGCCCTCAAATCCCTCTTGTATTGAACTGTATTGTTGCTGTATTGTCTCCCGTTATATTGTAAAGAGCTGAGCAAACTGTTGGCGCTATATAAATCCTGTATGATAATAATATCATACTCTGATTTGATCTTCCAATACAGTGATCCAAATCTCCAAAGAAAAAAAAAGAACTTATATAATGTATACATGTACACCTGGGCATGATTTAATATTAAATGAATAGTGTCTACCACTTATCCCCTAAATACTCTACTCTTACCCTCTTGGGGTGACCAGTGTGCATTTCACTCCTAAAGCTGTGAACAGAATCCACAAACACACATGTGACCATGCTCCATCCACCAACCGTGTGCGAAACAAATCCAGCATGCTCAATCCCTTCCCCTTAGGCATGCACCTTACCGTGCATGTCTTGTAAATTGCCTTTCAAAATATAATCAGCGTGCTCAATCTCCTCCCCGGTTCTTCATATGTTCATAGTGATCATAAAAGATAAACACTCCCATAGAGCAGCAGTATAAAAAGAGCCGTTTTAATAACACAAACTGTGCTTACATGAATCTGAAGTAAAAGAGCCTAGTTCAACCAATTCCAAAATAAATCTAGAAAAAGGTATCCACACTCCATCCTCACACTGTAAATTGTCTTTAAATTCGGATGACCTTTAACTTTACGTAACTCAACCGCATATCAGTATTCCTTCTCTTTTACATGGACTTCACAGATTTGGATCATTTAGCAACTTTAAATTGAATATTGCCAAAACGGAAGCTTTGAACATATCCTTGCCCGAGCCTGTCCTTTCCTCTCTTAAGAGTAACTTTTCCTTTAAATGGCAAACTAAGTATCACATACTTGGGTACAGAGATACCAGTGCACGCCCAAGATTTGTACTCCCTTAATTATAGTTCCCTACTCACCAAAATCAGAAGATCTTTAGAATCTTGGCATCATCTAAAGCTTCTTGGTTTGGGAGACTAAGTGTTTTAAAAATGGACATATTGGCAAAAGTATTGTACCTATTTCAGACAATACCGATCAAACTCCCAGTAGCTTTATTTCGGACCCTTCGTTTCTCTTGCCATAAGGTTCATCTGGCAAAATCATCCTTCCAGATTGAGACACAAACTCTTATGTTACCCCAAACCTGATGGAAGTGTGGGCCTCCCTGATTTTCAGCTATATCAAGCATCGGCTTTATTCCTCCTAATCTTGGAATGGTTCCCTTGTCCCCTGGTGAAACCTCCACACGTACTGAAGAGGATATGTCCCCGGTTGATTTACGGGCGCTGTTATGGGGCTATGGTGCCACTTACCACTCCATGTCTTAATTTTCGCCCTTTGACAGTGGCCACTCTTTCCCTATGGTACTGTCAACGAGACTCGTACTCCCTCCCTCCTTTATTTGACAATCCGGCTTTTGTGGAGAGCAAAGACATTTTGAACTATGGCTCGTATAATCGACTCTCTTGGCCAACGGCACGTACTTTTTTACGTCCTACCACAGGCTCCTTTTGGCCATCTGGCAACAGTGTCTCTGGACTCATGGACTGCTGCCGTCTTTACGCGTATCTTTGTACTGTAAAACTATACAAGACTCCAAACAGATACACAGGCCCTTAACAGAATTTGAAAAACTCTGTCTTAGCGCTGAACCGCTTTGTCAATTCCCTATCGCAGATTTATAAAACTGTTTTGCGCCACACTCCCCAGGTTTTGTCCACTTACTCAAGACTCTGGTTGAGGGATCTGGGGGTTGAGATTTCCCGAGGAATGGCAAATGTTTTTTTTTGTTTACACACAAGTCTTCCGTTTCTGCCTATGCTCAAAAGAAGAACTATACATTTATCGCTAGATGGTACCGAGATCCAGTATCTATTCACAGGATTTTCTCCTTTTCAACCGATATATGCTGGTGCTGTCACGAGGAAAGGACAGGGATTATGGTCAAATTCGTCCATTCTGGATGCAGGTATTTCAGATATTTACTGAGATGTATAATGAGTCTCTTCTCTTTTCCCCCAAAATAGCATTACTATCTGTCCTACCTGGCACTGTTAAATCCCAAAAGTCTAGTCTATTGAGATTTCTTCTCTCAGCTGCGAGACAGCTTGTCTCTAAATTCTGGAAAACCCACAACCCCACCTCTAACTTTATGGGTGGATACCACTAATGATATCATGCGGATGGAGGAAATGCAGGCTAAGGAAGCTGACACTTGGGACAGACATAAGAAACTATGGTCTCTTTGGTTACATTCTTCTTCTTCGGATAAACTCCATAATAGACTCCCCCACCTACGAGGTCGGAGTTGATTTCATCCTTTTCGCAGGTTTTCCCTCCGTCTACCCCTTTTTCATTTTGGTCTAATTTTACAGTTCCATTCATGGGGAAATTTCTTGCCCATTGGTTTTCCACCCCTCCTCTTTCCACTTTAGAGTCCTTGTGCCCAGTATTGTTCCCCCCCTTTCTTTTTTTTTCTTCTTCTCGTTCTTCTTGCTTCTCCTGCTTTCCTTCTTCCTCCTTTCTTCCTATACCTTACATATCTTATCATTTGCACTACATGATTATATCATTTGAAACTACTTGTGCTCCTGGGGCTGTATTTACGTAGGTTGACTAATGGATGAAAGTGCTTTGGTCCTCCTGTACTTACATTGTTCTTAACACGGCTAATGTCTAAGGATAAGTGCAGCTGTGATGTAATAGCCCATTTATACTTCCTGTTCTTTGAAGTATTCTCACTGTATTTGCCCATCCCCCTATTTTGGTCATCCCCCTTTCTTTTTTTTTCTGTACCCAACTTTCTATGTGTCAATAAAAAAAATATATTCAACATAAAAAGGGGAAGAAGGAACATAGCCTGTCAAAACACTTCAGAGATGTACTTGGTTGTGATCCCACACTATTGAAGTTTTGTGCTATCGATAAGGTCGAGGCATATTGGAGAGGTAATAATCGCAAAAGGGAGATTTCTAGGGATGAAACTTTGTGGCTTTATGGGCTGAACAGTATGTACCCTAAGGGATTGAATATAGAACTGGATCTGAAATGTTTCATCTCTAATTTTTAGAGCACCAAGCTTTAGGGCACTATTTTGAGGCTGTATCAGGCATGTGCAGGCAGTGAGGGCAGGTAGTGCCTGGTATGTATCGGGCATATCCAACCCTCTCTCATATATTATATTATATATATATATATATATATTTTTTTTTTTTTTTTTTTCTCATATCTTATTAAATTTAATTTTGCATATTTTGTCATTAATTTTGTGTAAAAACATGTAGAGAGGATATAGACATTGATGCATTGTTTAACTCATATCCCTATATGTATATTACTGAGGGCTTGTAATTTTAGATTTACTTACATCTACATCACTAGGGGGCAGATGTTTTTTCTATATGCCCATGCTGATGGTAATTTCAGTATATAGATTTACCTTTAGGATATACTCTGTTTGATGTTTTATTAATATCAATATTGCTTTTAGGTGGATTGTTCCACAGTATTAAATAGCACAGGGTTTAGGAAGGTAAGATAGTACTGTATTGGTAATCCAGAAGGTAAAATGGAATATATGGCCACAGGATGAGGGCGGGATGTGGCTTAGAGTCCGGTGGCGTCTGACGCCTAATGCCTATGAGGAATAATGAAACGCGTCAGTTGTGATGCAATCGGAAGTAACGCAGTGGCCATTTTGGAATTAGTTGAACTGTGTTCTTGTACTTCAGATTCATGTAAGCGCAATTTGTATTATTAAATGGATCTTTTTATACTGCTGCACTATGGGAGTTTTTATCTTGTATGATCACTATGAACATATGAAGAACTGGGGAGGAGATTATATTTTGAAAGGCAATTTACAAGACATGCACGGTATGGTGCATGCCTGAAGGGGAAGGGATTGAGCACGCTGGATTTGTTTCGCACACGGGTGGTGGATGGAGCATGGTCACATGTGTATTTGTTGATACTATTCACAGCTTAAGGAGTGAAATGCACACTGGTCACCCCAAGAGGGTAAGAGTAGAGTATTTAGGGGGATAAGTGGTGGACACTATTCGTTTAATATTAAATCTTGCCCAGATGTACATGTAGCACATTTGTATAAGAAATACTACACTATATAAGTTTTTTCTTTGGAGATTTGGATCACTGTATTGGAAGATCAAATGAGAGTATATTATTATTATTATCATACAGGATTTATATAGCGCCAACAGTTTGCTCAGTGCTTTACAATATAACGGGAGACAATACAGCAACAATACAGTTCAATACAAGAGGGATTTGAGGGCCCTGCTCCTTGGAGTGTGATATTCTATGGCATAGAACACATTCTGATTAAAACAATCTTGATGAGAAGACCAGAAGATTGGAGTACGAAGTTGTGCGCTGGTGTATATACATAAAGGTTTTCCGGTGCACGATTCCAAAGGATTTGGCAGATCCCTCTCTTTGTCAAAGCCAACCACTGAGTACCCCACCCCTTCCCCAGGCTAGGGAGTAAGGAACTTAAGGGCCAGATTACTCAGGAGCTAATTAACTTAACATATTTTTGAAGTGTGGGAAAAAACTGGAATACCCAGAGGAAACCCACACATTTCTCCCTAGTCTTCAGGCAGGTCCAAAACCTGCCCACACCCTTCTATCAGGATGAGTGAAACACACCTAAAAAGGCGACGTGACACATGTGGAGAGCAAGAAAGTAGCACATTCTGATTAAAAACAGTTTGATGAGAAGACCGGAAGATTAAAAGTACGAAGTTGTGCGCTGGTGTATACAGAAAGACTTTTTACCCAGGGGGTATTGGACTGTCAGCAGCACTGTTGTTTTTATGCTATATTTTGTGGCGCTTATTATAATCTTGAATGCCTGAGAGCCTTGCCCCAGTCAAGAGTCTTGCACCCCTGGGGGGTCAGGGAGGTCCTTCCTTTTTGGGAGGGGACCTGTGATGCACCCTGTGCATCTTTTTGTGCGTGTGTTCCCATGTCATTTTTTGGTTCACTTTTTTTGGGTCCCACTTTCAGTGGATTTTTTTTTGTCAAACATTGTATGTTTTTTTATGTGTAGCCATATAGGAAACAAAGGATGCTGGGTTGTAGGCCTCAATGGTGTTGAGATTACAGCACATTCAAGATTTATGTTTGTTTTTAATTCTTTATTTTTAACAGTTGTCAAAATATTTTACCAGAATTATAGATTAATTCAATGACCTCTGTACCTTAAAATTCCACAAGGTAATTCCCTGTTATATGTATATAAATCAAATATCTTAATCTGTGTCCCATATTGGAGAGAGGAGAAGGTAGAGGAGGGGAGGGTAGAAGAGGGGAGGGTAGAGAGGGGAGAGGTAGAGAGAGGAGGGAGGGGAGGGGGGGGAGGGGAGAGGGGAGGGGGGGGAGGGGGAGGGGAGGAGGGGGAGGGGGAGGGGAGAGGAGGGGGAGGGGGAGGGGGAGGAGGAGGGGGAGGGGAGAGGAGGGGGAGGGGGAGGGAGAGGAGGGGGAGGGGGAGGGGAGAGGGGGGGGAGGGGGAGGGGGAGGGGGAGGGGAGAGGGAGAGGAGGGGGAGGGGGAGGGAAGGGGAAGGGGGAGAGGGAAGGGGGAGGGGGGAGGGAGGGGGAGGGGGAGGGGGAGGGGGAAGGGGAGGGGGGGGGGAGGGGAGGGGGAGGGGAAGGGAGAGGGGAGGGGAGGGGGAGGGAGAAGGGGAGGGGGAGGGGAGGGGGAGGGGGAGGGGGAGGGGGAGGGGGAGGGGGGGGGAGGGGAGGGGGAGGGGAGGGGGAGGGGAAGGGGGAGGGGAAGGGGGAGGGGAAGGGGGAGGGGAAGGGGGAGGGGAAGGGGGAGGGGAAGGGGGGAGGGGAAGGGGGAGGGGGAGGGGGGAGGGGGAAGGGGGAGGGGGAGGGGGGAGGGGGGGGGAGGGGGAGGGGAAGGGGAGAGAAGAGGATGACTTAACTTGGGCAAGAAGACGGCTACTTACAAAGTATTAAGCGTTTATAAACATTCTATTAAACAAAAAAAGTAATTGTATAGGTTTTACAGGGTTGAAAACACAATGATGTAACAGCAATGTAATGAACTAAATTAGTGTAGTGCTATATTACATAATTCTATTTACGAGAAGCAATAGAACCCCCCCCCCCCACACACACAAGTGGCTGACAGCTATTTCCACTAATGTAAACGGCGACCAGTAGTTAGAAAGCTTACCTGTAATAAATGATTGGCTTCCTCCACTTTTCTAAGTTTTAGATATGCAAAAAACAGATCTGTGACAGGGTGGTAAACGGAGAACTGATTGGACAGCCTCTCTAAAACAATGCTTGCTGCAAATGAAGAGATCAGGAAAAGCTTAGGTCAGTAGGGTATCATGTGTCATAAAACAAATCTTTATTATCAGACATGATTAGTAGTAACAGAAGTTTAGGGCAGATCAGATAAGGCTTGGCTGGGGTGCCTAGGGTTTAAAGCTGAACACTGCGTTAATTTAAAATATACCCATGCAATGCCCCCTCTACATCGCATGACACATGTACATGTTGACATCAGAGAGCCTGTGACCGGTCAAGTGGTGAAGATAAAAAGGCTTTGGGGGACCAGTTGTACAGTCTGCAGGAGCAAGGAATAAGGTAAGTAATTTGCCCAATTCATCATCCCTCAGACAAAATGAGGTCACTACATAGGTACATTTTATGGCAATCCACTAGAGCAGGGGTAGACAACCTTAAAGAGGTGGAGATCAACCTGATCAACATGGGAGAAGTCAAAGATCACCAGGCACAGTGTTGTTTCCTCACACCTGATTTAAACCTCTAATTACCGTACTACTGTGTCACAATCACGTGCATTGCACAGCAATCATGGGTTTAAATCAGGTATTGAGGAGGCAACATATCGCCTCATCACCACCTATCAAACATACTGGGATCGCTTTGCATTGGAGCTGCAGTGCCTACTGCACCTGTGAATGAGCCCTTAGTTGTAATCGGCAGTGACACCCTAAGGGCTTGTTCACATGCAAAGTTGTGGTTGAATCCGTTTTACCTGCCAATCCCTGCCCCTTTAGCTGCTGAATCAGCAGCCAAAAGGTATACACATGCAGCAACAGAAATTACACCCCCTGTTGCTTTTGGTGGGTGCTACCGCCTATCAACTAAGACCTATTCAAGTAAATGAGCCACTCTGCAAGTGCCCTGCAACTCCATGCTTCTGAGGTCCAAGGGTTTATAGCAGGTGGTGGGAAAGCAACACACTGCTGCCTGTTTAACCCCTTGTTTGCTGTACTTCACAAGATTGCAAGACAATTGCAGAGTGGCCTCATTCACTTGAACGGGTCACACTTTGCTAGTGCTACACCCTACCGACCAGGACAGGGAGTAGGAGCAGCACTACAGAGGAGACATCAGCTTACGCGGCTCTTGCTCCCTACTACAGCTCCAACTTTACAAGTAGTCCCTCTGCACTGCACTCTGTTTGATGGTCTGGGATGGCGGGTCAGCAAGCCCAGACCGCGATCTACCAGTTACCTGGCCACGATCTACTGATTGCTGACCCCAGCACTAGAGCAGCTCTCCATGAATCATTTGTCTAGATCGTTACTGCTGTGCTTGTCTCATTTCTAACTGGCAAAAGCCAGCAGCCAAAACAAAGCAAGGCTAAGATGTTACATAAGGATAGAAGAGGGAGGCATAAAAAGTTGCATGGAGAGAGATGTGGCCCTGTTTAAAGGGAGCAGACCTGGCGAGTGAGAATTCTGAGGGTGAAATGTACTTTATGCATAGCCCAAAAACAGCCATAGCCATGTTCCTCCAAGTGATCCCCAAGATATCGGTAGCATAAAGAGAGAGTGCCCTAAATGTCCTGCAGTAAAGACATTGCAATATACATTTACCAGAAGGCATAAAAACACATAGATTTTTTTTTTTTTGGAGTAAAGACATTTTCATAATCATGAAAAAAAGCCCTAAAGCACCAACGCTCTTTACAAAAATATGTTTGACCATGCTATAATCCGCTTTCTGTCACCATTTCTCTGTCACAAAGAGACAGCCATCCAGCTCAGTTGTGGGTGCTGTGCTTGCTCTGGGTTTGTTAACTTCTACATTAAAGTCAAGTTGACACAATATCAGGCAGTATTCCACCAGTTTGTAACTTTATCATAACAAGTTGACAGAAGCACTCCAAAAACGGTCTTTTCCTCGGTTTACCATCTAGTGGGGCCTAATTGTAATTGATGTTTTAGCCCCACTAGAGGGTGAAATGCGTCAGAAAAAGCCAGGCTGTCATCCACTGCAGGCACTGAATCCGTGGCTAGGTTGGCTGGTTGCCCATTTGGGATGAATAGGTTTGAGTTAACATGGCCAAGTTCGCAATACACAGATACCGCAAAGTTTTTTCTTTTAAGAAAACCTGCGATAGATAATGCTAATCACCACCTTATGAGTCAAGAAAAAAAAAAATATTTGCGAGAACAACATTTTAAGTTCCAAGTAATTTAATAGACTGTATACTCAAAACCTAAACCATTGATAATGTGTTTGAGTAAAGTTTGATTCGTAACCAAGTTGGCCCCTTTTACGCTGATGCAGTGCAGTAAACAGGTGGGTCTAGTGCAGGTTAGCTGCGCTTTCCCCTTGACTTCTGTTATGTCCCGTGATTTTGGTGCGCTTTCTGAAAGCACACAAAGTCCTGAATGCAGGAATGCTTTCATAAAGCGCACCAAAATCACGGGACACAATAGAACCCTATGGGAAAGCACAGCTAACCCACACCAAACCCACGGGTATACTGTGCTGCATCAGTGTGAAAGGGGCCTTCATCACCCATATAACACACACTTCATTGTTCATTTGTCTTAAAAAGGTCAGACAACCAACAATGGATAGATCTCTCTCTCTCTCTCTCTCTCTCTCTCTATATCTATATATACACACACAGTTGTGTTCAAAATAATAGCAGTCAGACATCACTAACCTGATCAATCACTGTTTTTGGTAGAAATGATATTTCTACATGGCAAATAATTTCCTAGCAGGTGTAGTAGAGTAATAGAAATCCAACAGACCCAACAGTCATGACATGCATGCTGCTGATTCTGTGTAATTGAATCACTAATTGAAAGGGGCATGTTCAAAATAATAGCAGTGTGGAGTTCTATTAGTGAGGTCATTCATTCTTTGAAAAACAGGTGGCAATTATTGCCCTTATTTAAGGAAGGAAGGCAGCAAATGTTGTACATGCTGTTTACAGTGCATTTCTTTCTGAAATTCTGAGGAAAATGGGTCGTTCTAGACATTGTTCAGAAGAACAGCGTACCTTGATTAAAAAGTTGATTGGAGAGGGGAAAACATATAAAGAAGTGTAGAAAATGATAGGCTGCTCAGATAAAATGATCGCAAATGCTTTAAAATGGCAACCAAAACCTGAAAGACGTGGAAGAAAGCGAAAAACTACCATTCGAATGGATAAAAGAATAGCCAAAATGGCAAGGACTCAGCCAACAATCAGCTCCAGGAAGATGAAAGAAGGTGTAAAGTTACCTGTGAGGACTGTTACAATTAGAAGACGCCTATGTGAAGCCAAGCTATCTGCAAGAAGCCCCCGCAAAGTCCCGCTGTTGAAAAAAAGACGTGTGCTGAAGAGGTTACAATTTGCCAAAGAGCACATTGACTGGCCTAAAGAGAAATGGCGCAACATTTTGTGGACTGATGAAAGTAAGATTGTTCTTTTTGGGTCTAGTGGCCAGAGACAGTTTGTCAGACGACACCAAACACTGAATTCAAGCCACAGTACACTGTGAAGACAGTGAAGCATGGTGGTGCAAGCATCATGATATGGGGATGTTTCTCATACTACGGTGTTGGGCCTATTTATCGCATACCAGGGATCATGGATCAGTTTGAATACATCAGAATACTTGAAGAGGTCATGCTGCCTTATGCTGAAGAGGAAATGCCCTTGAAATGGGTGTTCCAACAAGACAACGACCCCAAACACACCAGTAAACGTGCAACATCTTGGTTCCAGACCAACAAGATTGACATTATGGAGTGGCCAGCCCAATCCCCGGATCTTAATCCAACAGAAAACTTGTGGGGTGACATCAAAAATGCAGTTTCTGAGGCAAAACCAAGAAATAGAGAAGAACTGTGGAATGTAGTCCAATCATCCTGGGCTGGAATACCTGATCACAGGGGCCAGAAGTTGGTTGACTCCATGCAACACAGATGTACAGCAGTTCTCACAAACAGTGCGACTACAACCAAATATTCATTAAGTGATTCAAAGGAAAGCAAAATCTTCAAACATTTTTAAGTTTATATAGTGAATGTTTGAGTTTGTAAAGAAGAATACAAACACTGCGATTTTTTTTGAACAGTCTAATATTCACTTTTCTTCAATTTTGTTTAGAGGAACAACACAAATTTGATATATTTTTCTTCATGTTTTGATTTGGAATAGAATGTGTAGTGTTCCCAATGCATTTGTGTGTTGGAAATAAAAGCTATTAGAAGGATTTTGAGCTTTATTCACTTTTTTCAACACACTGCTATTATTTTGAACACAACTATATATATTATTTTTTATTTTTTTTTCTAGTAAATGTTGGAGAGTTACATAAATATCCTGAGGAGTTGAAGGTGTAAGTTCTGTGCTCCCTGGCCTGAACATCTGCCACAGCCAAGGTGAAGAAAGATCTCATTGCTCCCCTGTTGGGTTTTATTTTATTTTACATTAATGGAGAATGCAACATAAAGATATGGAAGAATTTAGGATAAGCAAGACAACCAAACCCAGGGAACAGCAATGAGTGGAGGTTACAGTTGAGGTCCACCAGTTGCTTTGCCAACAGACTATACCATTTAATAGTCTCTTTTGGGTGGATTACCCCTTTAATTTTATGTTCCCCAGCCAATCACCAGATTCAAGATGTCCAGTATTAATGTGCAAACTTGTAGCTCACCAACAGTTTAAAAATTCTGGCCTGTTTTACTAGCAAAAATAATACAAAAAACCTTTAATTTATTAACAATTTAGGCAAGATACCACAAAAACTCACCTTTTTCTATTGCTTCGGACATGTTGTTCTGCATTAGCCTTATGAGCAGGTAATAGAGGGGAAGCTGTGGGTTTTTTTCTATACATAATGATTCTATCATTGAAGTGGCTTCATCAAAGTTTTTACTAAAGAAAGAAAAATGGTATATAACAAACAATTCATAAAACTACACTGACGTACAGTGACATAAGACTGGCACATACTGTACATCTATATTCTACAGATCGATTACTGGCTAGCACTGTTGCCTTACAGCAGGGGTCCTCAAACTGCGGCCCGCTGAGAACCTTTATCCGGCCCGCCGGCAGGGGCGTATGTGCTGCGAGGAAGGGACACTAAGTGCAGGGGCGGGCAGGGGGCTGCTGTATCTTACCTGGCTCCGTGTCCCAGTCCCACGACAATCCAGTCCAGGAAGCACTGCTCCTTCATTCACTCTGGCCTCTCCCTCACTCGATGTTCGTGCTGCCGCTCAGCTCTGCCTCCTCACCGGTGATTGGGCGCCAGCACTATAGCTCAGGAAAGGCACACAGGCGGCCAATCACCTGCGAGGAGGCGGAGCCGAGCGGCACCGGGAACATCGAGAGAGGGAGAGGCCGGAGTGAGGACAGCTGACAGGTAAGTGTGCAGTGCAGATGGTGCTGCTGCAACCAGGTATGCTGGCTGCAGCAGCACCATGCTGGAAACAGGGGTCAGCAAGTTAAGTGTCAGTGGGAGGAATAGTGCCCCATCATTGGTGTCACTGATACTAATGATGTGGCATTATTCCTCCCACTGACACCAATGATGGGGCACTATTCCTCCCCCCCACTGACACCAACGATGAGGCACTATTCCCCTCCCCCCCAACACCAACGATGGGGCACTATTCCTCCCCCCCCACTGACACCAACGATGGGGCACTATTCCACCACCCCCTACTGACACCAATGGGGCACTATTCCTCCCACTGTCACCAATGATGGGGCACTATGCCTCCCACTGTCACCAATGATGGGACACTATTCCTCCCACCCACTGATACCAGTGATGGGACACTATTCCTCCCATTGACGGGACACTATTCCTCCCATTGACACCAATGATGGGACACTATCCCCTTCCCCCACTGACACCAATGACGGGGCACTATTCTCCCCCAACCCCCCCAACCTGACACCAACGATGTGGCACTATTCCTCCCCCCACTGACACTAATGATGGGGCACTATTCCTCCCCCCACTGACACTAATGATGGGGCACTATTCCTCCCCCCACTGACACCAATGATGGGGCACTATTCCTCCCACTGACACCAATGATGGGGCACGTTTCTTCCCACTGACACCAATGATGGGGCACGATTCTTCCCACTGACACCAATGATGGGGCACGATTCTTCCCACTGACACCAATGATGGGGCACTATTCCTCCCACTGACACCAATGATGGGGCACTATTCGCTCCATAAGACACACTTGGGGGGAAATGTCTGTGCATCTTATGGAGCGGCCGGCCCAGTATTCCCGCCGCCGTTGTATGTCCGCAGTCTCTGGTCATCTCCTGTACTGTGTCCGCAGTCTCTGGTCATCTCCTGTACTGTGTCCGCATTTGTTCATAGTTTTTTTGTTAAAACTATAGTCCGGCCCTCCAATGGTCTGAGGGACAGTGAACTGGCCAAGTTTAAAAAGTTTGAGGACCCCTGCCTTACAGTGTTGTGGGGCCAAACTGATTTCTACTAGGCTGCTTAGTACGTGTGTGTACGTGTACGTGTGTGTGTGTGTACGTGTACGTATGTGTGTGTGTGTGTGTGTCATTAAATGTACTTTTTTAATACAAGTAGTCTAAGTACCAAAATCTGGATTTTAATCTGCCTCTTGCAATCCACTCTACAGCAGAGCTCATGGAGAAGAGCAGCACAAGGAGCCAGTCAGTTGTGTTACAGTGTTCACGTACTAACAACGAACATACTAAGAGGCATGAGCAGAGTGACAGATGAGCTCATCAGTCTGCTGCTTCTCATTTCACTGTCCAGTTACAAGCTAGGGAAGGGACAAGACCTGTAAATGTTAAAGAGCAGCTTCAGTCAGGTTTAAAAAAAAAAAAAAAGTTTAAAAGACTGTAGCTGCTGACTAATAAAAAAAAACAAATACAAGCCTAGGGATCCAACACTGTCTTCACCCCAACCAGGGACTTGGTCTTCAGGTCCCTGGCACTGATGTGTTGACTGTGGGATGCCAGCTTTGACTTCCTGTAACTTCAGTGCCGGTCCCCCACTGTGCTATCTGAATGGTCCCACACAGCCCCCTGGAACCTGTCACGTGACCCAGGAGGTTGCAGGCAGGGAGGTGGGGATTGAACTTCCGGTAAGTTTTTGCAAAATTTACAATAAAGGAGAGAGGAAGGGGGAGGATAAGCGGAACTTCTGTTTTGAGGTGAAGTTCTTCTTTAAAGCAGCACATCTAAACCTGTGAAAACAATTGATGGCATTGCAATTTACTGGTCCTTAGATGTGACAGCTGCATTGGTTTTCTTTTTTTTCCTCCACTCTTTTTTTCTTTTATTTTAAGCTGGTAATCCTACCTCTAACATACCTTCCTGTTCTAGGGTAACAATTGTACTGAGCCCTCTAGGACAGGGAGTGTGATGGGTCTAAAGAAAAACACTGTATTAGGGCTTGTTCACATGTGCGGCTATACTGCCACCTCCCTGAAAAGCTCTCTTATCTGCACTGGATTACATTTTAAAGTTTTGACAGGCAGTGGGGAAGTGATATGTAGACTCCTCACGGCCCACTTTAACCCTCAAAATGCTGTATTTTTTAAACTCTTAAAGCAGAGTTCCACCTGAAAAGAAAAAAAAAAAAAGTCAGCAGCTACAAAAACTGTAGCTGCTGACTTTTGAAATACAGCCACTTACCTGTCCCTCGGTCCAGTGGTGTCCTCACCCGGGGCTGGTTTCACCGGCTGCCTTCTCTCCGTGGTGCCGGCATTGGCGGGTGCCCATTGCACATGCGCAAGAAGTGCTGTGCTTTGTGAATAGATCCGTAGTCTTCTGGGACCTGTCACGTGTCCCAGAAGACTAGGCGATTGCAGTGAAAGTGGGAGCGGGTACCTGTCAAATTCGGGTACCCTCCCTCCGGCTCCCTAAAGGTGCCAATCCTTAATGGGGAGTGGGGGACAAAGGCTTAAAGCAGAACTTCCCCTTTTAGGTGGAGCTCCGGTTTAACTGTCCGATGACAGCTGGGGCCTGCTGGCTTCATTCACTATTCTGCCACTCTCTGTCTGGGGCACAGTGACAGGTACATCCTTGTTTTGTTTGCAGAGGAACACTAAAAAAAAAATGTTACTTAGAAACGTGCAGGGGACAGATGCCACCTGAATTGGGCCTTCTGGCGCCTACATCCCCCCTGCACCTGTGTGACCAATGCAACTGTTGGGCAGGAGACTCAGTAACGCCGAACCTGCAATTTTACAGGCTCAGCCTTAAAGCCTGGTATAGACGAGAAGATTTTTAAATTAAAATGTGTGTGAAAATTCTCTGTATATATGACAGCTTGACAAATGTAATTTGAAATTTTGTTTGCTTTTAACATTCAAGTTTGCAATAAATGTAATTTCCAGAACAAAAACCATATACACTGTCAGAAAAACATTCATTAGAGAAAAAACAAAACTCCATCCTGCGCCTTCAAATTTTTTTAGTCACTATGGTTGGAAATGAAGATCAATTTCAACTTGCATGAACGTTCTTAAAACTAAAGTTTGCGTTTGAAAATCTACTGGTGTATACCCAGCTTTATTAAACAGCACTGAGACAGAAGTGTCCATGTGGACATACCAGCCTCAAAGCTACCCTTTCCATAAGTGCCACAGACTCAACCTGCCGCATGGTAGGAACACCCCTGATGGTAATTTACATATTGTGGGCATCTAGGTGTTAGAAAAAAGTTATGAAATAAAAGAAGAATGCCATTTTCAATACTGACAAACTTTTTCTCCTTTCTTGACTGACCCACTTCCTCTGCATCAGTGCAATGCATTTAAAGAATATGTCAAACCAACATTTCATATTCCTGATATGTACCTGCATTGAAAGGTATCCGGTTCTCTTTGTCTTGCTTCCGTTGTGAAATTCTTAGGTGTTCTTGCCAGTCCCTTTGCTTTCCTATTAAAAACTGACCACACCAGGCATAAGAGCACAGCATAGTCAGTTTTCTACCTGTGCTGAGAACTCATCCTGCTCTACTCCAATGATCAGACTTCTGGTGAAATGCCCCTCTGAACAGCCATTCACTAGGAATACAAGTGTACTAATGTTTCTCCCTCCCTCAGCTCTCTGGATTTCTTATTCAGCTGAGAACGGAGGGTATGTGATGACATATAAAAAGGGAAAAATTTTGTTTATGTTTTTTTTATTTGTATACACAAATGTTTTACCTTTCATTTCTATTTTAAACTGAATGGGTTGTTTTACAAGGTGAGGGCTCACATATACTACACTGCTCAAAAATATTAAAGGAACACTTTGAAAACACATCAGATCTCAATGGGGAAATATCTCACGCTGGATATCTATACTGATATAGACTGGGTAATGGGTTAGGAATGTAAGGATGCCCCATCGTTTGACGGAAATGAAAATGATCGACCTACAGGGGACTGCATTCAAAGACACCCCGAAAATCAAGTGAAAAAATGATGCAGCAGGCTAGTCCATTTTACTGAAATTTCATTGCAGCAACTCAAAATGGTCCTCAGTAGATTGTATGGCCCCCACGTGCTTGTATGCATACCTGACAATGTCGGGGCATGCGCCTAATGAGAGGACGGATGGTGTCCTGCAGTGTTTCCTCCCAGATCTGTACCAGAGCATCACTGAGCTCCTGGACAGTCTGAGGTGCAACCTGGAGGCGTTGGATGGACCAAAGCAAGATATTCCAGAGGTGTTCTATTGGATTTAGGTCAGGCGAGCGTGGGGGCCATTCAATGGTATCAATTCCTTCATCCTCCATGGCAAATGCTAATTGAGCTCTATGGGTGCCGGGTAGTGAGCACAGGGCCCACTAGAGGGCGTCAGGACCTCAGGCCACCCTCATGAAGTCGGTTTGGTCAGAGAAATACACACCAGTGGCCTGCTGGAGGTCA